AAGCTTTTATTTATTTGTATTTATATGTTTCTCTCCTGCAGCAAGCAGCACTTGTATTGAATGCCTCCCGGCGATTTCGGTATACTTTGGACTTAAAAAAGGAAGAAGAAAATGATCAGAGGAGAAGAATGATTAGAGCTCATGCACAAGTCATTAGAGTAATGTTTCTTGTTAACACTATTCTCGAATGCATGTTTGCCCGTTTCTTTTTTTTTTATTTATTTTTTATTGTGTTCCTGATTAGTCAACACTCTTGCATCAGGCGGCACTGCTCTTCAAATTGGCAGGGGAAGAACAACTTGGTATGTCATCATATGAACATTTGTCTTAAAACCTATCTTCTATGCATTTTCTATCAAGGAATTAATGTAGAAGGAATATTGATTGAAAGAATAAAGTATTTAAATATAGCATATTTGATTTCTTCACAAACTATGAGAAGAAAAAAATATAAATGTTAAATAATAAAATTGAATCGATTTTTCAAGATCTTAAACTAATTGCTAATGACCCAATTTATTTTTTTATAGGCTAACACACCTTTTACACACATACTCACTATGTTGAAAGGGTGAATCATGCATGTATCACCGTGACCTTGTGGAAAATTAAATTTTTAGTAGAAATAGGATAACTAGATTTAAATACTAAATCTCTATCTTTGGTACCATGTTAAACAATGGAATTAAGCTTATTTTCTCAAAAGTTAAGTTAAGGCAAGGATCTAATCTATTATTCATAAACTAGCAATAAGGACTAGAGATTGGTGAATATTTTTTGAAAAATATGATATGAATTATGTTCACTTGCACCAAGGGAATGCAATCATATACAAGAGATTCACAAATCGAACAAAATGTCTTTTTGTTCACCTAACTCTTGTTAGAAAATTGGATGACCCGTAATGAAAAAGTTTAGAGTCTAGAGACAAAAATCCTTTTTAATCTATCAAAATTAGAATTAGTGCCCTCAAAAACCTTTCTATTCATTTCTTTCTATATGATCCGAGTACCTATAAAGATAAGTCTTCATCTCTTATCCCCATGATTGCTCCTCCAAGCATGGAGCTCTGATGCGGAACTCAAGATCAACCAACGTAATCAGAAACTCACATAATGTCATTCAAAGCTCCAAAGGAATTTGATCATATGAAAACTCTTCCTACTTAATCTTCTATCAAGAATGATAAGAACTAAGATCACTAAAAAATGGAGAATTAAAAGAAGAATAGAACAACGTCACAAGTAATTACCTTGATAAGTAAATCCACTCTTTACTCAACAAGAAGGATGAAGATACATTTTTTGAATAAAACTCACAATATTATTGATTTTAATCTGGAATGCTTACAATGAAAATTTGATGACTTATTTATAGGGTAAGCCATGTAAATAAAAAGGTAATAAAAATCTCATAATTAAAATTATAATTACATAGAAAATTAATTAAAAATAATGTTTAAATTCTTAATTAGGTACAATTATATAGGGAATTAATTAAAATTAAAATCTAAATTCCTAATTATGATAGATATGGTCTTCTCTCTTTTCTTGGCCGATTGCTTCTTTTTCTTACTCATTTCTATTATGTGCTTGAAGAAAGTTGATGAGACCATTATGTTCTTGGATTAATTGGTTGAGTAACTTATTCCCTTGGGCTTCTTTAGTCGGTTCAAACCCATCTTCCTCATTAATCCAAGTTTGGATGAAGAGTCCAAGGATTACAACAAACTTTCGTCGGTTCAAACCCATCTTCCTCATTAATCCAAGTTTGGATGAAGAGTTAGAAAGTTTGTTGTAATCCTTGGATACGGCTCCTTGTTATGGGTCAATTTGGCATGATGATGTTTCTTCCATGTGGCCCAAGATGAACCATGCTCACATAATCTCCCTCCTCTTCAAGATGGTTTGTCCTCGAATCCGGATTTGCATCAAAAAAGGAAAGATCAGCAACCTTAAAGCTGGTAGAAACACCATACGTACCTGGGAGGTCTATCTTATAGGCGTTGTCGTTGATGCACTTCAAGATTTGGAATGGGCTAGCTCCTCGGGTCCAATTTTGACTTCCTTTGTTTAGGAAATCTTTCCTTCCTCATATGGACTCATAACCAATTTGCAGGTTGAAATTTGACTTGTTTTCTCCCTTCATTGGCTTTGCGAGTATATGATTCGTTCTTTTTCTCCAAGTGTTCCCATGCCTTTTGTGTATAGTTTTGACTAACTTTACTCTTTGTTGTCCATCCAGATTAACAAGTTTTTGCAAAGGTAAAGGAATTAAATCAAGTGGGTTAGTGAGTTAAACCCATATGCAATTTCAAAGGAGATAAGTTGGTGGAAGAGTGAATAATCCTTAATCCTGTTATAAGCAAACTCTACTAAAGGTAAACACTCT